GGCAAAATTACAATATGTTGTGATCATAACAAAATAAGACTGACATGGCTTCTTGTGCGACATTGTAATTGAATCTTGAATGAAACCGAACCAAATGCAAAATCTTTTTCATTGTGCTTTGTTAGACGCTTTGTCTAAACATATATATTAGGGCTGTCAAACGATTAATCGCATCCAAAATAAAAGTTTGTGTTTACATAATATATGTTGGTGCACTGTCCGTGTTTAATTATTTTATGTATATAAATACACACACGCTTGTATTTATTTAAGAAATATTTTCATGTTTACACTGTATATGAATTTATATATAATTTATATTGTATATAAATATAAATATTTTATATATAAATAAATGAGTGTATATATATCTTAAATATACATGCATGTGAGTGTATATATATATATATATATATATATATACAAAATAAATATAACACAGTGCACCCACATATATTATGTATACACAAACTTTTATTTTGGATGCGATTAAACACGATTAATCGTTTGACAGCCCTAATGATTGAATCAGCACAGCTTCATTAAAAACATTTTCTGAGTAACTGCTCAACAGTTTTAAGTTCAGTCCTTTGTTCTCAGAGCTAAACTTGAACGTGTCGGGAACGAGTAGGAGGTGTTAGGGACGGGAGTGTTTGTGAAGTTGCAAAGTGCTCAGGCGAGAACGTGGAGAATGGGGGCACGGAAGCAGATTTAGCACCAAGACCTTCGCACTTAACAGGCACCTCACAGTTCAGGACTTGCACACAGTTATGAGGGGGGCAGGAACAGTGGTGTGATGGCTCAGCTTTTACTATAAAAAAAAACAGCAAATGGGGGCTGTCAGGAGCAGAGGGAGGGAGCGGCACCTTCAATTCAGCTTGCTTAATTACTGCTAAGCCTCTCTACCTCCCCATGAAGCTCAAGTCTACGCCATTCCACAGACCCGCAGGCCTCATGGGCCTCTGTCTGTGTGATTGCTTATTAGCATGGGGGTTAGATGTCATTTTTATCCCGGAGTAGAGAGGCACATTTTTGCTGCCAGTAGCTACTTTTTTGTAGCTACCTTTTTGTTTTGGTGATTCAGGAGAAATACATACATCTGAAAGTATGAGACCAATAGTGACAATGCTTCTCATTGTTAATTTTAATTTATTTTAAGCATTACATTTTTCATTTTAATTCTTATTAATTCATATATTTCACAAATTTTTTTGTGTGTGTCCAAATGTTTATTCATTTATATTCAGAATAACACATTAAGAAATGTAATTACAGTAAAAACAGTTTATTAATGAACTAGAAATAATACAGAATTTTTATCAACATTTTCCTAAAAGTTTCCAGGTTTAAATGGCAGGAAAAATCCCAGATTTTCTCACTTTTATCAGGTTTTTGAGCCACCCTCTATTAATATTCCCATTCAGTGAAGTGTTTTTTATCAGGAATCTTTCAGCTACATATAAAAAAAGGATTATATGAGCTCAAAATTTAAAGTAAAATCCATTACCTACTAACTGTCAGCTACCTTTGTTAATTTTAAAATCGTATTTGATCAAACAATAGAGATTTTTATCAAACAATGCGGTAGATCATTTCCACACTCTGTCCTGAGGGAGCTGCGTCAGCCATTTCCATGGCTGATACTTTTATGTCGAGTTTCAAATAATTTCATCATGCAGCCCAAAATTGCGCGGCTGGTATGCAACAGCAGGGCAGTAATTTGTACGTGTTTGGATTTCAATTGGTGCCTATGGGCTGCAATAACACTATGCATTAAAGTGAAGGGATTAGAATTAAAATGCTTCTCTTGCTATCTGTTTTACTGTCACTTTCTCTCTCGCTAATGGACACACACACTATTCCTTTGCTTATATTAGTGGGGCAACTAATTTACTCTGGATATTTTTTTGTGAATGCCTTGTGAATATATCCAATTTGGTTTTTGAGCATTTGCAAGATAAAGTTTGCCACAAATTGAAAAGAACCTTGGTGGTAGAATTTGAGACATAATAAAGCTTTGATGTATTTGAAATCAATGCAGAGTTAGTGGGACTGATGCAATAATAAATATAAAAGAACACAAGTGATTTGCTTGTTTGTTGGTCGAAGTCTTTCTGTGAAAATAATGTTTTCAAGAAGACATGAACATTACCTGTTCATGACCCTTAGTCACTTCAAGTACTCAAATAGTGGGTTTTGATGAATTATTAACATTTATTGATTATTATCTTCTGTCTTTTGAGTTAAATTGGCTTCTGTTGACATTAGTGAGATGGCACATTTAGTTGGACGCAAATAAACAAGTCTTGATGTTTATTTTGAAAATTTTGATGCCTTGTGCTCTTGGTTGATGATCATACAGCTTACAAAACATTGAAAACTCTGAAAAAAAATACAAGTGGCCTACCAAGAAAAATTGACATACCAAACTGCCCGCATGCTCCACCACCATTTTTGTGTTTCCATCAAATTAAATAGGAGATATGCTCTAAAATCTGTAGTCAAGGAACAAAAGTTCACTGAGTTTTACAATAAGCTTCTATAAAACTCTTAAAGTGTTAATATTGTGGATTGTTTGATTGAGCTTGACCAGTGATGTGAGTTTGGGGTTGGACTATATCTATTTGTTTGATCAATAGCAGATGGACAGTGGAAACATATTTGGAAACAATCTAACTTTTAGGAATTCTGTTTGGTGACATTAGTTACATTGTAAACTTAGTGAGAATAGATGGCTTATTTAGTTGGACGCAAATAAACAAGTCTTGATGTTTATTTTGAAAAATTTGATGCGTTGTGTTCTTGGTTGATGATCATACAGCTTACAAAAAATTGAAAACTCTGAAAAAAAAATACAGGTGGCCTACCAAGAAAATATGACATACCAAACTGCCCGCGTTCTCCACCAACATTTTTGTGCTTGCATCAAATTAAATGAAAGATATACTCTAAAATCTTTAGTCAAGGAACAAAAGTTCACTGAGTTTTACAATAAGCTCCTATAAAACTCTTAATGTGTTAATATTGTGGATTGTTTGTTTGAGCTTGACCAGTGGTGTGAGTTTGGGGCTGGACTATATCTGTTTGTTTGACCAATAGCATGTTTGGAAACAATCTAACTTTTAGGAATTCTGTTTGGTGATGTTGGTTACATTATAAACTTCATCTTTAAGGCATAAATACACAGTGTTAATTTTTGTGTAGTTGAACATGGGTTAAGAGAGAAAATGTGACAGAAGGCAGAGACAGCGATATGACTGACTGCTTTGCAGTTACTTTCACATATACAAAAGTGTGATCCCTGCATTGCAGTGAGTCGGTTATTGTGGAAATCTGAGAGTTGCTTTACTGTAAATACATCTACCAGTTAGCACTGTTAACGTCACAAAAACGAATGGGTTCATGCATCTTTTTCCTGCAAAGTCTTCTTTTCTGCAATACTTTTGGCAGAAGGGTTATATAATCGGGTGTGTATGTGCATGAATTCACATCTCTGTCTAGGAACCCGAGAGACTCAAAGTTTCTCTTACTAGTTCTCCAGCACTGTTCGCCTCTCTGTCAGGGTGTCAAGGGTAGTCGGGGCTTATTCCAGCCAGCCAAGATCTTCGGACAGGGACTGCTGGCTGATCTATGGACTTGCTCAAACACACACACACAAGCACACATACGGATAAACACACACAGGCACATCCAGTGTAAAGCGGACTGGACAGGCTCCCCCATGTTAGAAAATAGACTGTCTGTATTTAGCCTGTCTGCAGGGACTCCTCACAGCACCTCTGGCCCTGTCATTGTAAGGGACGCGGAGGCTTTGTTCTGGCTCGTTTTCCTGTGCTGCCGATCAGTGATACTCGATGGGAACACAATGTTGTGGGTAGACTTGAATCTTGAATTATATTAATCTTGAATGCTTTTTGCTTTGCTCGAATTAAACCAGTCTGCCTGATTCAAAGCAAACATCTTGGGCCTCTTACCTAAACTTATTTCCTCAGATTATTGTTCCTTCCCTGCTAAGTGTTGGTCAGTGAATAGCTTTCAGAAACCTTCACTTTCACTGTTCCTTTTTGGTGGAACCATCCAACCTTCTTCTGAAAAGTAGAAGACATTTTGATCTTATAAAAACAGTATAAAGTCAAGACTGAAACTCATTGTCCTTATTTTAACTAATTGGATAGTTAATACCATTTTGGGATTTTTAAATTACTAAATTTTCCAGTCACGCTTTTATTTATAATCTGAAACATGCTGCGGCATATATTCCAAAGAAAATTGTAATACAATTAATGTCAAGCACTCAACGCAGCTTGTGTAATTTTGGATTTGTGCCGAATGAGAGAAGTGAGCACAATTTTTATTTGTATAGCTCATTTCCCACATGTCCGTAGTATCAGTTTCACTTTATATAAATTAATTTATGCTTAGCATTTATAATGAATCTTGTTTATAATGAATGCCACGATAATAAAATTTGACTGATGCTACTTATCTGTGCATTTATTTCTCTCTCAAGTTGTTTTCTGGGAAATAAGGTAGTTGTGTAAAACTCGAGAGAAAACAATAACCTGAATGTGACATTACTCTTGTAGTGAATGATAATTTTCTGCACTTAAACTTCTGCTCTAATTTGGTTAGGTTCCTGATGGTCATGCCATCTTAAACAGCCTAAGCTTGTCTTATTTGGCTGGTTTTAAAAGATTTTTGGACACTTTCTGGTTGGTCAGGCTGGGAGACTGTCTTAAGCCAGTCAAGAACAACAAACCAGCAGCATTTGTATTGTTTTCTTGCTCACTCCATTGCTTCTACTTATAGTGTACTCATTTGTAATTTAAAATCTGCTCTAAATGAATAGATGTAAATGTCATGCTGATGTTTTTTTTTCCTAATGAGGCTGTTTGGTTACTTCAAATGACTTTGGCCACCCGCCGATATCAGGCAGTATTGAGTTCAAGACCACTGTCTATCCATGTCATTAAAAGTCTCTTTTCCTTTTTCTCACACAGGCTGCGCGTTCCTCACCTACTGCGCCCGTGAGTCGGCCATCAAAGCCCAGAACGCTCTCCACGAACAGAAGACACTGCCGGGGGTAAGTCCGCTTCCAGCCTTTTGCCTCACCTCTTTAAGAGGACCACCATGCCAAAGCTAAAGCTGTATGTTTTAGACAGAGAGTTAAAGCCATTGGAACAGAAATCAGTCGATAACCCAGCCTTTTAAGATCAAGCTTTGAGCCGTTTCATGGTACTTCTCCCCGGGGACATTTGCAAGCATTGATCCGATGCTTTCAGCACTGGGCTTGGGGATGCAGTGATAGCAAATGTCAATTAATTTGTTCTCTCAATTTTTCCAAACTGCTCCATTTACGCAAAAAGCCAGTGAGTCATTGTTGCCCAGTTGCACAAAAGTATTCCAGATGCACAAAAATAAACATAGCGGGGTGCATCGAGGGTGTTTCCATTGAGAGTTGTGTGCTTCTGAGTTTTGCCGGCAATTGCGACGACATTCAAAGCACAAAACTCCCAAGGAGGTCTGACAGTAGTCTGCGCGGCCTTACACAACCATTGTGGATGGTTTGACAATGACACATTGTTGCCACGCTGCCAGTCCAGACAGTCATCTCCTGAAGTAACCTGCAGGAAACTCAGATGAACCGAGAGCAACATATTTGGCATCACAATTGCAATAATGGCAAATAGCGTGTGATAAACTGATAGAAATTTCTTTGTATTTTAAATTTTTCTTCTTCAGTTGGCACAAACTCCACAAGCTTGTGCAAAACATTAAGGTCCATGTTAGTCATACACTGATCTTGTAGGATTGTCGAAATCACACAGTCTGTAGCAGGCATAAGGTTGCTGTTTAAACATTTATATAAGAAGACTTTTAAATGACAAGTGGTGTCCAATGTTTGATTTAGTGCCACGTTGGATTCAGGGCAACCATGTCAAACACACACCCACAAACGCTTTTACCTCTAATAAAACATTTGAGCCTGAAAGGAGATAAAAACATATGAAGGAGGGGGCACTCAGAATGTGACACATGCCATCCAGACCTGTTGAGAATACATCTCACTGTGGGGTGACAGAAACACACACACACACGCACGCACATGCACACAGACTTGCTGCATGTGTGACATCATTGCATCAGCTTCACTTACCAGTGTTGTCATCCCCCGAGACAACTGCGAATAAGGTAGTAGGTGTTTGTTGAAGAGTCTGAGAACTAGAGGCGTGTTTTTATGTTTGCCTGCTAGGAATAGGACATGATGGTTGACTCATTTCTTTCTTTTTTTGATGTATGTATTTTTTAGCTTAATATTTTAGTGGTGGTGCTTTAATTAGCATGCTGACAGTGTTGTGTGTGTTAGCTTTTACAATTTGCACTATAAAATCCTGTCAGGAAAAGGTGCGTCTCCTAAATTTATCACATTAAAAACACTGCGTCCACAGCCATACAACTTTAAACAGACATCTTTGGCTGTTGCATCATGTCTCACACAATTTTTTTGGGGTGTGTGTCAAGTTTAAATAGTAAAAAAAGCGACACAATTTATTTTTATTCAGTTGCACTCTGAATACAAGAAAACCTCATAGAAAAGTGTCCAATCTGGGTCAGGTGAACCTGAAACCAGTCAAATTATTCGGGGCTTTTCCTTAAAGAGACAGTTCACTTAAAAGTCTTTTGTTTCTTTGTTTTGTTTCAAACTTATTTGACAATATTTCATCTATGGAAGACAAAAGATGGTATTTTGAAAAAGTCCAATTTTTCTTTGTCCATTCAATGAAAGTCAATGGAGTTGTTTTGGATCCCTTTGATATTAGGGGGAGTGTATATAATGACAGAATTTTCTTTTTTGGCTGAGCTATTTCTTTAAAACTGATTAGCCACTCAGTCAACCCACAGCTAGTTCATTTTGAAAAGAACACACTCTTTCCTCCGTGTACAGCTGCTAAATTGATCTGGCCTGCAGTGAGTTTTGGCCAAACAGCCTGTCCCTAAATCTTTCCCCAACAACCCCCCTTCTTGCTACATTGATGGTAAGTAAATATGGCAGTTGTTTGTTTGCTAAATCCTGCTTGATATGCAGATTGCCAGAGGCTACAGAGTAATTCATGTAAACAAGGGTTCTTCTGGAACTGACCTATAAGTTATTTATGCTTGCGTTTTGTCCTTAACTATTGACTGCCCATCTCTCTTAGCACCTAGTATTAGTATTATGGTATTAAAGACTATTATAGTTGCTTGAATTACCTTTTTATTGTAAATATTATAATATATAAGTTTTAGTAATTTTGTCATTTTTATTATTATTTTTTTTTTTTTACTTTCCAATTAGTAATTTAAACTTATTTCATTCCATTTTTTCTTTAGTACTAGTTTTTTCATGTAAAATTTATATTTTATTTTATTTCTGCTTAATTTTAATGATCGAATAGTTTTAGTTAACGATAATAACCGTTTTGCTCATTTCCTATCCAAACCTGCTAGTTACACTTTAAGGCCAGTTTTACGTGGCTTTATTGGTAGATATTATTAAATTGATGAATATCTACCAAATTAAATAATAAGTGTCTTTTGTGCCCCCCTAGTGGCATCAAGCAGAATTGCGTTCTTTTTGGAAGATCGTTTTCTGTCAATGTTATTGTATTTCGGGCTGTAAAAAAATAAAAAAGAGTAATGTTTACTTTACCTTTATTTAATACAATTTTGAGATAATAGTTCATATATAATTTTATAAAGTAGTTAGTGAATTTAATTTTTGTTGTTATTCTTCATTAGTTTTGAAAAATCACAGTAAAATGACGTCCAGTAAACGATACGATACTGAGATACAGTGTTGGGGAAGTTACAGTACTCTAAAAACTGTAGTTTGACAAGATACAACTACTCATAAGTTAAAGTAGTTAAGATACAGTCAAGCTATCCCCCTCCCTTTTTTCTTTTCTTTTTTTTACAATGACATTGTTCACTCACCTAAAGGATTATTATTATTAATGATCTAATCAACCAATCACATGGAAGTTGCTTAAATGCATTTAGGGGTGTGGTCCTGGTCAAGACAATCTCCTGAACTCCAAAATGAATGTCAGAATGGAAAGGTCATTTAAGCAATTTTGAGCGTGGCATGGTTGTTGGTGCCAGGCAGACCGGTCTGAATATTTCACAATCTGCTAAGTTACTGGGATTTTCACGTGCAACCATTTCTAGGGTTTAAAAAGAATGCTGTGAAAAGTGAAAAACATCCAGAATGCGGCAGTCCTGTGGCCGAAAATGCCTTGTTGATGCTAGAGGTCAGAAGAGAATGGGCCGACTGATTCAAGCTGATAGAAGAGCAACCACTCGTCACAACCGAGGTATGCAGCAAAGCATTTGTGAAGCCACAACACACACAACCTTGAGGCGGATGGGCTACAACAGCAGAAGACCCCACCGGATACCACTCATCTCCACTACAAATAGGAAAAAGAGGCTACAATTTGCAAGAGCTCACCAAAATTGGACAGTTGAAGACTGGAAAAATGTTGCCTGGTCTGATGAGTCTCGATTTCTGTTGACACATTCAGATGGTAGAGTCAGAATTTGGCGTAAACAGAATGAGAAGATTGATCCATCATGCCTTGTTACCACTGTGCAGGCTGGTGGTGGTGGTGTAATTGTGTGGGGGATGTTTTCTTGGCACACTTTAGGCCCCTTAGTGCCAATTGGGCATCGTTTAAATGCTAAGGCCTACCTGAGCATTGTTTCTGACCATGTCCATCCCTTTATGGCCACCATGTACCCATCCTCTGATGGCTACTTCCAGCATGATAATGCACCATGTCACAAAGCTTGAATCATTTCAAATTGGTTTCTTGAACATGATAATGAGTTCACTGTACTAAAATGGCCCCCACAGTCACCAGATCTCAACCCAATAGAGCATCTTTGGGATGTGGTGGAGCGGGAGCTTTGTGCCCTGGATGTGCATCCAACAAATCTCCATCAACTGCAGGATGCTATCCTATCAATATGGGCCAACATTTCTAAAGAATGCTTTCAGCACCTTGTTGAATCAATGCCACATAGAATTAAGGCAGTTCTGAAGGTGAAAGGGGGTCAAACACAGTATTAGTATGGTGTTCCTAATAATCCTTTAGGTGAGTGTATATTACTGTACATACTGAATAATTGTTTTGAGCTTCTTTTCAATTGACAGATGCTTTGCCAAAGCAATGAAACGAAACAAAAAAATTGCTGGTGATCTTTTAAGTTATAATTATATAAAGAATAAAGAAGGACAATTAATCAATCTAAAAAGTCTATCATTCACCTGTATTTGCTTGAAGTCTTTGACGCAGACCGCGTTTTAATGTTTGGCTTGCATACATTTCTTACAGAAGTGCAAACTTTACTAGTTGATTCATTTGAATTCTTAACTGTACGTCCTTTACATAATCATCAGACGATCTCTTCTCAGTGAATTTTAAAGCTGCAAGATGTGTGAAGAAACAATAGATGGTGGTAATGCAACAATGCACTGCAGGCTCATCAAAACGCAAAACAGAATACAGCTTTGTTATGCTACACTGCTTCTTGCTGGAAAAAATAGTTAGCTTCTGGAAAAGCTATACTGTTTTAAAAGCAACTGAGCTACTGGAAAAGCTACTAAAACACTCCCCAACACTGCCGATATACTGTGCGTTGGATCATCACAAAATATCGTAGGGGGCTAAATTGTGCACAGCTAGGAGTTATACATGTGAAACAATAGCTAACTGAGTAAATGCCTTTGTTTTTGTGCATGGAGCATTCCCAGAGCACATATCGCATGTAGCAACTGCCAAGATTGATCAAACGACATAGATCCTCCCAGTTGAATTCCAGCTGGGATTTCACAGAGCCTTCATGTTCAACGTACTGCTAAGAATCGCAATGACAGGGAGGCCACATGTGAGCCCCATGATAGGAGTGGTCGTGTCTGTCGGAGGACAGAGGAGGAGCAGGAGGAGGAAGTTGGGCGAAGGCGAGGAAGGCGTTCTGACAGCTGTCTGCCTCAATAGTGCGCTTCCCCATCAGTGACCTCTGAGGAACATCAGCTCCGCA